ATTACTATTCTTCTTCTCATCCTTCCTATTACCTATCTCTTCCCACTTATGACTGTAACCGTGTTGGTTGAATCTTTACAATGTATATTGTTTTATTTGTTGTCTAGTATGATTTGAGTACAACCCATCCATTTTGGAGGGAGGGCAAGACATTTTGAGCAACCTTCCACCCCCAACCCCCCCCCAACAAGCTGCCATTGTCACCTGTGCAAATGTAGTTCCTCTTTCTTTAGAATTTGTGTTCCTGTTTGACATTCAAGGTACCTGCCAGGTTTCCAAGGGATGAAACCCATTCAAAAAGAAATGAGCTAAATAAAATGGCTACACTTATGCCAACTTCAGGCTCAACACTGAACACTCAACATCTTCAGGATGGGTGGGGGAGGCATTGTAAGGCCATGGGGTGGGCTTAGGGTTAGGGTTAACAACCAAAGCAAAAAAAAAAAAGATCGTAATTAGACTGTTGTGGAGTCTAATCTTCCACCTCTCTATAAAGTCCCTCCTTCCAAATTCCCAGGTACTAAATGGGGCAGCCTTCAAGCTTCTAAGTGAAATATGGCTCCCCAAAGCTGACACAATCATTTCCCCACGCCAGCCCCACCCCATGGCCATACAATACCCCCCATCCATCCTGGAGATGACAACTGAGTATCAGATCAAGGTTATCTTGAATGGCAAACAGGAGCGCAAATTCCAAAGAAAGGGGAACTACATTGGCACAGGGGTCAATGACAGCTCGTTGTTGGGTTGTGGGGAGGAATGTCTATAGCCCCATCTATAGATGTTTGACCACCAAGAAAGGCCATTCGGAGATTATTGCAGGAATCCTGAACTATCAGTTCCACAGTCTGGAAGATAATGTGAGTGGCAGGTAGGTCCCCATTTTGATGTTATCTGGAAAATATTTCCCGTTCTTCCTCATACATGGAGTGTATTTTTATTATACTGGAAAGCAGTTTTTCACTTAAAGGAAGCTGGGTGGAATGGGAATATGTCCAATCTTTGTATGGATCCCATTGCAAAGATGGTGTTAGTGTCCCAATGAAATTAACCAGATAACAGATAACCAGAGTTGGAAGGGACCTTGTAGGTCATCTAGTCCAACCCCCTGCTCAAGCAGAAGATCCTTCACCATTTCTGACAGATGGGAGTCCATTCTCTTCTTGAAGGTCTCAAATGATGCCACAACTTCCGAGGGCAACTTCTGTTCCATGGGTTGATTGTTCTCCCTGTCAGAAAGTTTCTCCTTATTTCCAGGTTGAATCACTCCTTTGATCAGTTTCCATCCATTATTCCTTGTCTGGCCTTTGGGGGATTTGGGAAATAGCTTGACCCCCTCCTCCTCCTCTCTGTGGCAGCCCCTCAAACATTGGAAGACAGCTATCTTGTCTCCCCTGGTCCTTCTCTTCCCTAGACTAGCCAAGCCCAGTTCCTGCAACCGTTCATCGTATGTTTTATCCTCCAGTCCCCTCATCATCCTGGTTGCTCTTCTCTGCACTTTTTCTAGAGTCTCAACATCTTTTTAATAATGTGATGACCAAAGCTGGATGCAGTTCTAGGTGTGGCCCTACTAAGGCTTTATAGAGTGGTATTAGTACCTCCCTTGTTCTGGATTGTATCCCTGTGTTAATGCAACCTAGGATTGCATTAGCTTTTTTGGCTGCTGCTATACACTGCTGGCTCATATTTAGCAGGCTGTCCACTAAGACTCCAAGTTCCCTCTCACAGTTCCTGCTATTAAGCCTGGTTTCACTCCAGTCTACATGCGTACTTTGGGTTTTTCTTGCTTAAGTGTAGGATTTTACTTTTCTCTATACTGAATTTCATTTTGTTAGAATCGTCTTCTTTCTGCAAGTCACCATCAGCCTTCAACTCAAAACCATGGATTGGACTGCAAGCCATGATTACATAGCCATCATTAGACACAGTGGAATTAAAAATATTAAAAATATTTTATTACCAGTTCTGTGGGTGTGCGCAGAGCACTCTAGAACGGGCAGTTTTAAGCATGAAAACTTACTTAGCTCTGTGCTGGTGAGTAAAACAGCTGAGGCGCAGATATCCGCTCTTTCACACCTGTCAGCTGAGCTACAAACAGAGGAAATATAAGACAGGAAAGGGCAGAGCCGGGTGGGCGGTGCCAACTGCTGACTGGCACTACCGGATCGCTAGAATCAGTGCAAACCACCGACATACCACTACTGATTGACAGCCTAATCAAGGATCCCCCAAGAACACTTCCATCCACATTGACAGGCCAGGGCACTAGTATGCAAACAGAGAACAAACCCCATTTTTTTGCTAGAACTGATGGCGTTGCCTAATTGGGTCTACTGTTTTTCCCCAATTGTTTGTTCCTTCCAATTTTGAAGACTCTAAAGTTTCTTAACTCTGAAGAAGGCAAGACTCATGAGGTGTTAAATTAAGCTGGCTACTCTGAAGATCTCTAATATCGATTAAGTGGATGTTCTAAAGATCAGGTATATTGGTTTATTGTCCTTATCAAAGGCTCTGTTGCTGCTTTAAAACAAAGGTACCTTCCAATAAAGGAGAATGATTGTAGCTCAGGGTTGAAATAAGGGATCCTTTGGTTCTAGGCTTGGTGGGTTTTATGCAGATGTTTCATTATCAAACAGGTAACATCATCAGTGCTAGAAGGAGGAGGAGGAGGAATGTGGGGTCCTTGATGCTCTCTGGCCTTGATTGTTTTCTTGCAGACATTTCATGACCCAATTAGGTAGCATCATCAGTGCTGAGTGCCATTTGCTTTTAATTTATATCCTAGTGGTTCGCCTTTTTCAGCGTTGGCGGGAGTGGCCTTGGAGGTTCTTTGGTTGGACTGTTTACTGTTGACCCCTTTGGCAATTCCTTGATTGGGGTATTGTTTACTTCTTGAGTGTTGATCTGATATTAATCATGGAATTAATCTATGCTCACTTGGGTTTTGTTTGATGGCAGGGAAGTGTTTTAGTCTTGTTCCCTTGTTGGCTTGTTGGTTGTGTCATTTGCACAGCATATGAATGTTGTTTATGTCTTTGTATCTATTGCTGGAATTCTGAATGGTTGGGCTTCAAAAAAATGTGGACAATATAGTGTGGTTGGTCCATTTTTTTGTCATTATCAGTGGACAATGTATATGCTAAGACCTCCACACAATTCATATGAACTCTCACACACAACTTCGCACACTTATCCCTCCTCCCCATTCAGCCTCCCCCTGAGTCCTGTGTAATCCATTTTGTCTCCTCCAACTGAAAATCAATCACAACAGCAGGCTCAGAAAGTTTTGCAAAATATATTTTAAGTCAATCAAACAGACCAAACCCACGTTTACGAAAATGAACAATTCTTTTTTTTTTTTTTGCACACAAGGATTCCTGTTTGCAAAATATTTGCTAAGCTGCTTTTTCCCATCCAGAAAATATCATCTTATATTATCTATATCTTATATAATTTGGCCCTATAGGAAACCCATTACAAAGAGGGCAGACTTTAAAATTCAGACATGGAATTATTTTAGCCGTAACTTTGAAATGATGGACCTAATCTGTAAGATTCCGAATAATTAAAAGGAAGGTAGTTTGGTAGAGGTTTCGATAAAAATAAATTTCTATTTTTAATCCTTGGTGGTCTTTATGGAGTGGTCTTCTCTAATCTCACAGCAAGTGGGGAATTCTGGGAGTTGAAATCCAGAACATGCTGAGTTCGAAAATCACTGAGAGAAACTGGATTACAGTCTGGAAACATTCGAAGTTGTGCAAAATTGTTGGAAAAGGCTGGATGCACTTGTAAATCCTGGTTGGTTGGTATACAACAACATTTCTCAATTTTGGTCACTTTTAAGCTTTGTGGACTTCAACCCCTTCTGGTTGGGGGATTCTAGGAGTTGAGGTCCACACGGCTTAAACTGACCCAAATTAAGAAACACTGCTAATAAGTTACATACAGATGCTACATTTAAACACAATTATTTTTCCAGAAGGAACTTTTGAGGCAATCTGTCTCCCCAAATTTCCCAAATTTGGATCCCCAAATCCATCTTTGTCTCTCATCCTCAAGCAGATTTTTAAAAAATATACGCAAGATTTAACACAATTTCTCCTGTTCCTCCTCAAAATAGACTAAAAATTACATTCTAGGGTCATAGAACAGTGGGGCCTGGTCCTTTCCTACGTCTCTACTTTAATTTGTCCTCTCTACTTTTGAGGTGGAGATAAAGTAATTAAATTAAATTCAGACTCCTAGCTCGGAAGAGGAAACAAATTCTTTAAGAAGAAAGCCCTTTTTTTATAGAAATTGTCACAAACATCCCTTCGAGGCAATGTCGATATCTAACAGTTGGCCATCGGAGTCGAAGTCCAACCTTCATTGGTCCACGGAAATTGTCTCGTTTGCTGTACAATCTCCAAGCTCCATCCCAGCTTCACTTCTTGCACGGATTCGATTTCTTCTAGAAAATCAGAAGACTATCAAAGAAACTTGAAGGTCTCTTTTGGTCGCCTTGTGGTTGTGTCCACAAAGCTCTCCAAGATCAGCCAGCTGGATTATCTCTCTGCAATTTCTCTGAAATCATTGTCTTCCTTTTTTATTTTAGGCCTTTCTCTCCACTGCTCTTTGCTAAGGAAATAATTAACGATATTATGGAATCCAGGTGTCCATCTTTATCAAAAGCCAGACAAGTCTCCAATGGGAAGTCAAGAATAAACCGCCATTCCTGGCTTGGCCGAAGTCCCACCAGGTCCTTGGCTCTGATCTAAAGAGTTCAAAATGGACCGAGGACCAAGTTGGAGGACCAAAATGGAGGACCAAAATGGAGGACCAAGTTGGCCGAAATCCCAGCATGCATCTCACCGTTTGTCCCTGTGGTTAAGGAAGAAGTCCGAGACCAGCCAAAGTCCCATCACACACTAGAAGTTTGAAAGTAGCAGAAGGTATGGATGGGAAGGGATGCATCCCTTTGGATTATTATGGGATGGTTCCCTGCCCAGGTGTGGATTTGTCCCGTTCTGGCAGATTTGCCCAAAGACCTTCAGCAGAAAACTCCTGGGAGTTGGTTGACCTGGTTAAAGAAGAGTAATGAAGGGTTATGTTTTTTTAAAAAAATCTTTCTGATGTTCAGTGTCCCTGTCAACTCATAAAATACTTCTCTGGTCTTTTTGGAGTTGCCAATAGAAAGGGAGGGGGGAGCAGTGCAGCAGCTTGCAAAACCGAAACTGCATTCCACAAATGTTTTCAAAGATGGTAACTAGGTGACTGAAGTTTCTGCCAAGCAAAGATCTAACAGGAGAGCATGATTGATGACTCTAATATAGTATAATGTAATAATTTAATAGTATAGTTTAGCACAGTATCATCTAATATAATATAATATAGTATAATCTAATATAGTATAGTATACTATATCAGTGTTGGCGATCCTTTTCGACACTGAGTGCTGAAATGGGAGCGTGTGTGCGTGGGAGCACCAGAAACTTCAAAAACAGCTCCTCAGTGCGGGGCGTAGGAGTGCCGGGAAACGGAAGAGCACATGTGTGTGCTGGGCATGAGCATGCGTGCTGGCCACCTGGTCTTCTGGTTTCTGATTTGCATGCACACGCAAAGAGCATGCATGCGCACGCCAGAGCCGGAAGCTCAGCTTGCACACTGGGAGCTGCTCTGTCAGTTTCCACAGCTGAAGACCAGCTGGTCAGCATGCATGCACACATGCCAGAACCCAGAAGAGCAACGGGTGATGGCTGGCATGCCCGGAGAGATGGCTCTGCATGGCACTTCTGGCACACATGCCATAGGTTCGCCATTACAGTACTATACTGTATTTTACTATAGTACAGTAAATAAAATAACCTAATATGGTATAGTATTACATAATGTAATGTAACATAACAAGACAGAACAATATAGAGTCTTCACTTCATGACAAAGAAAGGGAAGGATCTCCGATCCCCGCCGCTTCAAAAGAAAGACTAACGGATGCAGCCACAGTGCACGCTTGATCCCATCACAGCCTCACCTCCATCCCAACCGACTTCATGCAGCGGTCTTCCTCCCAGATTATATTTTCTGTCCTGCACGGGCTTTCTGTAACTTCTGCTTCCGATCCTCAGGAATTTCCTCCATGCTGATCCCGTGGCTGCTCGCCCTGAAGGAAAAAGAGCAAACCACGAAAGGTCTGGACTAGACAGAAGAAGGACCAGGATGGGGAAGGGCTTGGGAGGCTGAAACCTTCTAGAGAACATTGAAAGAAACCAGGTGAGTTCAGTCTAAAGAAGAACGGTTGAGGGA